ACACCTGTAATATTAACAGAGCTTTCATTTGCTCTGTGTTTTCCTCATATTAAAAATAAAAGCACAAAAAATAATATCCACTGTAGCTTTACCTCACACATCCATCGACTTACTTCAGCTCCTCCAGAGTAATAACATTCCCAAACATGCCCTCTGTGCTCTCAGTTCATGCACACTTGCTACTCAATTGCAGGTCATTAAGCTGCACACCTGCAGTGACTTAACTCATGCTTTACTCAACTCTGAACCACCCCCCCAGCAAGAGTGACATCATTCACTCCTCACACTCTCATTAAATGTTGTCTTTTCCTCATGATACTCTGTGCCAAATTCCCTGATGAATCCAACCTGTAATACTCAGCAGGTAACTGAAGAACAACTATTTATTATACCAGCTGCACAGAAATACGTAACTATTTAGGAGGAATAAAAAAAGGTAGTTTCCAGCTTAGGTGATGTGGGTGACCATTGCCTTGAAACAGGAGCAATCTGTATGCAACCACAAGTCACTAAGCACTTAAATGTGTAAAGAGATGCCAGAACCATTTAGAGCTTTTTCTCTTCACTAAACACCATTTTAACTAAAATACTTACTATGGGGACAGGGTTTCCATATGAATATTGTGACTTTTAAATGCTGTCTGTATTTAGAGTCTCTGAGAGACACATGCTGTTTATATACCACCTGTATGTGCAGAAAGAAACAGAGTAGACATGAAGTTAAAGCTGCCCACCAGCTGAAGAGTCCTTGGTGCAGAAAAAAGGCTTTGCTGTGGGTACTTTTAGCATCACTCAGGTTTTTTGAGATTTCTGTTTGCAAATGGTTTCATGGCCTGTTCCATGGAAGTAAATTCCAACCACAAATTAAACTGTGCAGGCAGAGATCCCTAGTGGGTACCCATCATGGAGATTTCCTTCTATGACCTTCCATCTGTAGGGGTGAATTTATCTTTGATGTAACACCCACTGGTGTTAATACTACATGAAGGATCAATTTCCCATATGTCATTTGTTTCATTTTTTAAAGCCAAGGAGGCCAGGTCACTGGTCACTCTGAAAGAGTAAACCACATTATTTCCATCTCCACCTGCAATTTAGAGCCAACTATTTAGTCCCACTATCCCTAATGGTGGGTTAGATTTTATGGTCAATGCAGGATGATATTCTAGTGAAGGATATTGGCACTAAAAGAGTCACAACCTGTTCAAAACTGGATTCAGATTACCTTAGGGTGGGTACTGGGGATTAAAGGTATCCAGAACCCTCTCCAGCCTGAAGACATTAATAGTGATTGATTAAGAGGCAGGAGGTGGTGATGGCCTGTGTATTACCCACAGCACTTGAGATGTATCTTTTCTAGGGGGGTTAATGATGATCAGTAGTTCTCATCCCTCGCAGAGAGATGGTAGCTGTGCAGGGCTGTGTTAGAGGCCAGCTTTTAGGCATGGTACACAATACTACCCTTAATGTCCTGAGAGCTACCATTTCTGAGTTAGCCAGAGGCTGGGGTGCAGTAAATCTAGAAGCTGTCCCTCCTCTGATATATATTCCCTTTACTTTCCCTCCTGTGTGCCTGACCTTCATGCCCACAGAACTGCTTTTGAAAAGCAGTGCAAGGGTCCATGGCTTCTACGCTCCATTTTACATGGGACATGATTTATAAGTAGAAATCTTTTAAAATTAAATTTCAGATGCATTTCCTTCACTGACAGGTCAGCAAACATCTTATAAATCACAATTCAAGTGCCAAATTCCCTGCCAGTGATCAACAGATTTTATCAAGCTTTTATAGCCTTCAAAAGCAAGTTCCACAGTACTTGTTCTAACTTATTATTAACTTGCTATTAGAAAATATCATTGAATGAGCAATATTTGCTACAATGACACGCACACAAACCGTCTACAATACCTGCAAATAAATGATATCTTCTTCTGATCTAAAAACACATATTCCTTTTTATATTCTTGGAAGAATGGGGAAAGTTACTTAGTTACAAAAACACCACAAATCCTGTGCACCGTGTAAACGGTCTCATTTTATGCACTGACTTTCTTTACATCTGTGCAAATAAAGCCATTGTTACAAGCACAAAGAGCTGTGGCATACAATACATGCAGCTATGAAACCATGAGTGCTGCTATGTGTTGAGTCTTTAAATGGAAGTGGCACATCTGCTTTTGGCATAGGACTGTAAATCAATCCAAGATGTTTATTAAAGAGTCAGTAACAACCTGTCCACACGCTCTTTCTTCCATCCAGCCTTGGGTTTGTTCTTGCTTTGTTATTTTCCTGGCAGTTAAACGTGGGCTCTGCACACTGAAAGTATGTGGTGTTTCTTCACGTACGGATAACATAACATGTCACGTAATATTGAACAAGTATGTGATGCGGAGTGGCTTGGACAAAAATGCGAGCCAAAATGAGGTGGGGAGGAAAGGGTAAGTACAAACAGCTACAGAACAGTGACTGAAAGGTTTGTTACCATGCAATAAGGCAACTGTGTTTCCTAATACCTTTTAAATTAATGAGACCTAGATTTGATTTCATGTTCCAGCTCTTGGCAATTAATGAACAATATTTGCAATAGTGAAGGATGATGAATATTTTCTTAGGGAAGTCAATAACTGACTCAGCATTTGCTGAAGGTATTTATACCACTGGATATTCTACCACTGGGTCTACTTGAGCAGGCCTGGTAGGAGTACAAGCCTTTCAGCTCTTGCATGGGTTGACCAGCAGGAAAATCAACATAATATTGGCACTGGCCAATACTGACACTGCAAACTGGCCCTTTTTGTGAGCAATCGATGCTGTATTTGGCACAACCTGTAACATGTTCCTTTCCCACGGACTGAGGAGCTCTAGGGTTTGCTGTAGAACAGCAGTCCAAGGACAACAGTACCTTTTGTGGGCAGCCTCGTTGTGGGCTACCTGCACGTAGCATCACTTAAGACTGGACCTCAGCATGAAGGCAATGGCTCTGGGTCTGAGGGTAGAGCCTCGGCCATGCAGTCCTCCTTCCCCTTCCATCAAAGGATGCACAAGAAGGCATCCTAGGAGAGGGAATCATCCACAGCTAGGCAGGAGGAGCAACCCATTCTGTGTCCTAGCGAAGGGCCTACTTTGTAGTATGTCTGAGTAACCAGAAGTAGAAAGAAAAATACGATGGATGTTGAATTCTTGACTTCCATGTGGGGAGATCATAACAGTGATGCTGTTCTTCAAATGCATTGAAGGAAACAAGACATGTCCTGTCAAATACAAAGGGAGGCTTATCCATTGGAAAGGCAATATCTCTTTCATATGATGGCAGTGGAAAATCACTGTTTTAAGAGATAAGATTGAAAAACAGATGGTTTGATGGGAAATGGTTCAGAAAGGCTTGTTATGCAGAAGCGGGAATAGAGTCTGCTGGAAGTGTGCCACCCAGTGTTTTATACTTGCACATTTAATTGACTAGACTGAACAAACATCTTCTGTAATTGTTCATTTCTTCTTTGTTAAAATGCTCAGGATATATTAAAAGCCTGGATTCCATATGCATGTTTCAGTGATAATGTTACCTATCAGCTCTGTCCCAAAAGCATCTAAGATTGCTGTAAATTTGTTAATTGGATGTCTTTTCATCTGTAGCTGAAATTCAGCTGCATGAGTGACCCAGGCAGATTTGCTCAGCAATACAGAACATACCAGAACAGAATTTATACAGTGATTTCTACTGCAGGCTAGAATTACCTTGATCAGACTTGTTACAGCATCTTGTTAAAATATTTTAGCCAGGGAAAAAAAAAATTAAATTAAATCAAAATACTCAGGTAGCCCAGAAAAGTTAAAAAAGGAAAAGAGAAAGTAATGTTTTCTCCCATTTATTCCACCCACTCTTAAGTTTCTCCTTTTAATTTAATTTTATTTGATTCCATATGCCTGATAACGGGACTTTTGTGGAACCGAACCTTTTGCAAGTCACTGTGCCAGCTTTTTGGAGAACATCTCGGACAGGTCTCTTCATTTCCATTTCATTTTGTCTTTCTATGGCTGAAACATTGTTATTTAAATGAGTGCTTTTGAGCTCTGATTTTTTTAATGCAAATGTGTGCTGCTTCCCTATTGAATTGAAACCATCAATACTTCTTTTTCCCTATGAAAAGCAGGACAAAAAGTCATATTCTCAGGGCTGAAGGTGAGTTGGGATGTTACTTTTGTGTGACTTTAAGCCAAAAACGGGAGATATATGCAATGGTGAAGTATCAAAATATTGGCTCAATCGTCCTTCTCTCCAAGATATGATTAAAGCAGTTCTGTATATTTTAAAGAACAGCTGATGTAGGGAAGGTGCCAACACACAGAAGACCAGTCACACTCCCCCAAGGCATTCTGTATAAGCAGCTTAGGGGAGTGCACACAGAAGTGAGACATTACGTGCCTCCAGCAATCTTATGGTGCTCCATACCATCCTTGCTTTTGAAAGTTGTGATGCATTTTAATTAGAAAGTAGGTGTGCTCTCATTTCTAATTTTTTGGAAGCTGTATACCAGGAACCATAGTCTGAACTTACAGGATATCTTAGAGGGAATAGCAAAGAAGGTAAAAAATAACAGATCCTTGGCTTGCTTTAGAATATGCTGTATGCTTGTCTTCAGGCTATCCTTTTAGCTATAATGTCTAGAAACACAGGGCTTTTTTTAAAATCTGTGAATGTGGAAGTTCTCCAGTAACCAAACGCCTCCTGGAGCAGGAGCTTTCTGCTCATCAAATATTGCATGATATGAAAAATATCACATCCCATGCCCCCAGCATCAAAAGGGTTGGCAACACCTGAGCTGCATCCATCCCTGGTCTCTGCCTGCCAGACCAAGAGGCATGTGATACTGAAGCACATGGATTGTCTCACCACTTCTCCCATTGGACAAGCACTCATCTTGCAGCAAAAAATGCCACAGTCCATGCCCAGCAGCACCCATGCCAGCAGTATGAGCAAACAGACCTGAGACTGAGCTCTCATTTTAATCACAGAAGTTGTTTTCTCTCAGTGTCAGTGGTTGTTGTTCCAGCCCAGGCTTTTATATATGTTATTCCTGGACTAACGAAAACTTGAAGTGCTGCTTGCCCTGCAATACCAAATTTATGGATGAGGAGACAACTTCAGCTTGCCAGGTGATAATTTGGCACCCTTATGTCAGTGTTAAAATCCCTACAGCTGTAAATATTTATTTGATTGGAATATACTCCAGCTAACACATTATGATATGAATAAATCTAACCTTAAATAAAACATCTGCTCTCCATCTTTTATTCAGTTTATAAAATTCTTGATTCTTGCTCTGTGCATTCTCAGCTTAATACAGCTATTCCAACATACAGCAATCTGTGGTGTGCCTTGATTTCTTTTCTAATACAACATTCTGCTTCTTGTATTTCACCTCTTATAGCATTTGCAAAGTTTTGATTTGACAGGACAAGCACAGTGAGGGCATTAGGACCAAGAGAAAGACGCACACATTGCTCTGTATTATGTCTGGCAAAGTGCTTCCTGACTGAGTGCCGTAGTTATGTGTGAAACAAAGTCAGGGACCGACTACTCCTCATCTGTTGATCACAGTTAACTTGAAGCCTCTGCACGGGGGAGAGCTGTCAGATCTGCTTTCAGAGATACACTGCTTCAATCCAGGCAGCAATTGGAAACTTTGAAGAAGCAGGATCTACCCAGGAAAGAAACTATGAGAAACGGGATTTTTTTCAACTTAGAATTTTAAAAGGGGGGAAAAAAATCAAAGCATTAGCTACTCTTTCAATCAGCAAAGCATGCACTTTCCTAACTAAGCTGAGACTCCGTATAATAAAGGATCTACTTTATCTCACTGGATCCATGCTACATTTTACTACAGTAAGTACAATATTAATAGGAATGTTATAATTTTTTTTTTCTGTAAATAGAGAGGAAAGCATGAAATGGCATCAGTGAAATGTGAAGGGAGCAAAAAAATCCTCTTGGCAGATAGTGAAAACCAGGGCTTTTGTGCAACCCAAGGACTGAAATCTGAGGAAGATTCAAGTGATATTTAACATGACCATCTGTATAATTTTGTCACCAACAGTATGTTCTTGAGGAAGAAGTGCAGATATGGATCACGTAAGCTGCAGTTTCTCTTGTTGTTTCTGATGCTGGGGTTTTTGCTACTGATGGTTACAATGCTGAATCCACCACCCAGCAACCAGAGCAAGGAAGGGACTTTCCAGCCTGTGGAGTTCAACCCCCGGGAAGGGTATCAGATGGATTTTGTGGAGACCCAAGAGATGCTGGAAACCCAGGAGGAGAGCCAGCAGTACTACCCTTTGGATGGTCTATCGCCTTTCATCTCCCTGCGGGAGGATGAGTTGATCATGGCCGTCGTGTCGCCCACCGGCAAACGGAACCACAGCAAGGCCAGGAAGGGCTATCGCGTGGTGAAGCAGCAGAGCCGGCGGCCGGAGGGGAGGGCAGAGGGGGGCCCCGAGTCCCCGCCGCTGTCCCTTCCCCTGCAGGAAGGGCAAGGGGCTGCTGCGGGGGAGCGGCCGCTCGGCCTGGAAACGCACGGCTTTAACGAGGTGCTCAGCGAGCGGATCGCGCTGCGCCGGGACCTGCCTGAGGTACGACACCCGTTGTAAGTAAAACACCCTATTTCACTTCTGGGGGGAAATCTGCCTCCTTCCCCGCCGCCGCGTCCCCCCGAGCCTCTCCTCCTGCAAACCCCGCACCTCTCCTCCTCTAGACCTCGCGTCTTTCCTATCGAACTCCCCGTCCGAGTCGGGCGCTCCGCTCCTCAGACCAGGGACGCTCCCAAACCGCTTCGGGAGGTGGTTCAAGCCCTCAGGAGTCGGCGGGCGGCAAAGGTGGAGGGGGGCACGGTGCGGGAGGGGCAGCTGGGGCTCGCTGGGCGAGCGGAGCAGAGGCGCGGAGCGCAGCGCCCGTGGGGCGGTGTGAGCGCTGCCGCGGCGCCCCCGCACCCCCGGCCCGGCCCGGCCCCGCTCCGGCTCCGCCGCGCCCTGAGGCCGAGCGGGCGGCAGCGCCCCCTACCGGCGCCCGCGTCACGGCAGGTGCCGGGGGCGGCAGGGCAGGGAGCGCCCCGGGCCGCGCCCTTCTCTGTCCGTCTGTCCGTCCGTCTGTGCGTCCGGCTGCTGGGCTGCAGAGGGGGAGGGAACCCGACCCGGACTGACGAGCAGGAGAGGCGGCTTCCCTCCTCCGCCAAGCCCCGTCTCAGCCCACCTGCCAGAGCTATGGGGTATTACCAAGTGGTGAATGAATGAAGAGTTGGGGCTTTCAGCCCTTCCAGAACAAAAGTGACCCGATGGTCACTCATAAAAGTGGAACCGACTCTGCGCTGGTGTGGCCTCACTTTAAATATCGTGTGCAGTTTTGGGCACCACAATATAAGAAAGATATAAAGCTATAGAGGAGGACAGCAAAGGTGGCGGTGGGTCTGGAGGAGAAGCCGTGTGAAGAGCGGCTGTGGTCCCTTGGTTTGCTCAGCCTGGAGAAGAGGAGACTGAGGGGAGACCTCATTGCTGTCTACAGGTTCCTCACAAGGGGAGGAGGAGGGGCAGACACTGATCTCTTCCCTGTGGTGACCAGTGACAGGACCCGAGGGAATGCCTGAATTTGTGTCAGGGGAGGTTAAGGCTGAATATAAGGAGAAGATTCTTCACCCAGAGGGTGGCTGGGCACTGGAACAGCTCCCCAGGGAAGTGGTCACAGCACCAAGCCTGACAGTTCAAGGAGAATTTGGACAATGCTCTCAGGCAAATGGCGTGGCCCTTAGGGTGTCCTGGGCAGGGCCAGGAGTTGGACTCAATGATCTTTATGGGTCCTTCCAACTCAGAACATCCTGTGATTCTGTGGCAAGTATTGAAAGGAAACTCCCGGGAGGAAGGAAGGTGGAAATTGTATGTCAGACAAGCTCTGCCACCACCACCATACCTGGCAGCTGTGAAAAAAATGTTGCATTTGAAGCCCTAGGTGTTACGTTTGAAGTCTGGAGACTTGAGAGCCAGTTGCCCCAGCAGCCCAGGAGGAGCTGCTCATCACACTTCTTAAAAAGGATCTGAGGTGTATCTACTATCAAGCTGCCCCAGGGAAAGTTCAGGTTGGACATTAGGAGGAATTTCTTCAAAGAAAGGGCAATTAAACATTGGGTCCAGGGAGGTGTGGAGTCACTGAACATGGAAGTGTTTAAGGAAAGACTGGACATGGCACATAGTGCTGTGGCCTCCTTGAGAAGGTGATGATCAGTCAAAGACTGGACTTGATGATCTCAGAGGTCTTTTCCAACCTAATTGATTCTATGATATGCTTCCCTTCCCAGAGGGAGGGCAAGGGATGTGAGTGGTGTCTTGTCTCCTGTAACAAAAACAATTGTAGTTTTCTCCCAGGACACGGTGGAAAGACGTACTGGAAAACATTTTAAATCAGACCCAGAATATTTTTTTTTTCTAGTGTTCATTTTCACGCGTTTAAAGACAGCTCCAATTTAAGGGTACAGTCTCAAAGAAAGATAAATGAAAGAGTGTTTTCTGTACTTATTGACTAGCTTCAGTGTTAATTTGGTTAACTCCATTAAATAATGACATGCTGATATTATTTCAGTTATTTTTTGGCATGCTTCACTGCTAACTCTTTGAACTGTGTAATGTTCAAAGGAGGAATGACTACCCTGGTTTACTGTCTTTGGTGGAAAGCCAAAAACTAGTTTTACTTTGGCAGCTGAAGGGCCATCCCACAAGATACAGCTTTAGTTAATACTGATCTTGGTAGCATTTAAACCATGGTCTCAGAGCTCCTGGGTGGATTTTGCTGTCTCACTAGTTACAGCCTAAAGTGTTCTCAACACCACAACTTACAGAGTCCAGAAACCCCCACAATGATGATTTTTAGGTGTAGTTTACTCTAGGGGCCTGGCTCTCAACTGTGTCAGTCCAGTTTTACAGGAGCGTAAGAAGAGAGCAAACCAGAATCAGATTGTCTGTGTCTCTGTTCAGTTTGCATCATGTTGCTCATCACAATGTCTGTTATTATTTAATTAGAGAGAAGCCAGCCAGTTAGATATGTTCCAGTGAGTTACCACCATGGACTCAGTCTCCCTCATGTCACTTGATATTGGATGGCAAATACTTCACATAAGAAGTGGCCCATCCTCTGAGGTACTTTCATCCCTCAAAATGCTTTCTGCTGATATCATTTGCTCCAGCTGGGACTGACACTCTCCTGAATCAAGGGACACCTGAATCAAGCCTGCCATTGTGACTTTTATGATGGGGGTGCTGCCCAAAAGAAAGATCTATTTTCCTCTCTTGGGTTTGAGTGTCAAATGGCAAAAGAAACTCACCAGGTATCTACAAAAGTCTTAAGTTTCATTACCAAAGTATAGCTTCCTCTGGAGTGCTGTTTGGAGCTGAATCTCAATTGAATAATTTCCTGAAGGTGAGTGGGAGTCCCTGTCAGCTCTGCCTTTGCCCTGTCAGAATTGCTCTCTGTTCATTGCTGCATGTGACAATTCCTTGTTTTTCACAAATTAGATTAAATCACTATGTCTCATATCAGTCACAGCCCTGACTCTTTGAAATGCCAATTTATGATAGACAGGCTATGAAACTGCTCCAAATTACAGGGAAGATATTTTTGTATACCAGTACCCTAGTGCATTTTTGTGAAGATTAGATGTCTATATTGCAAGTCTTTGCCAATCTCCATGGCAACTAAGCACTCGCCACCAAGGTTATGTGTTCAAGTACCGTTATTTTCAATTCTTTTCCAATTAAGATTTCACAACGGCCTTATTTTCTTGTTATAACCACAGTGCTAGCAGCTAGGTGCTAATAGCTATAGAATGTTTCTGGTTAGAAGCTGCCTGGTAGTAAAAGGACTGCAGATCTTCACTTTTTTAATTATTTCTCAATTCTACTGCTTGAAAATACTCACTCCCAAGTCATGAGAGTATTCTTTTCTTGATACTGCTGAAAATGGAAACAATCACCTTATATGAAATTGTGAAGTAACAGTGTTGTTGATTACACAAAATTAGTAAATCAAGGATAATATAGATTAATTACAGTGTAAAAATCATCAAGAAAATTTTCCTTTCTATGCAAAAAAGTGAAATATTGAAAAATACAATAAATTATTAAGATTGTGCTAATTTTAAATATATATTCCCAGAAGTGCATCTGTAGTAACCATTTATGTGTATTCATCATTAAATCATTCAGACTATGAAATCTCTTAAGTGATTAGCAGCTTTGTGTCTGGATAGTGTCTAGCAGCATAGAACCTCAGTCCATGAACGAAAGCACTAAGTAAAACACTAATAAACAGAAACACTAAAATTATATCCTTTACATGAATTTCTGCTGAGTAGCCAATTGTTTAACAACCACTGTAAAACCTGTATAATTATTTGCTTGGCAATACAAAAATGCTGAAATAACAATGGGCTACATTCAGCCAATTGTGTAATTCCTTGAAGAAATTCTTGCTGGTGGAGATTAAATGAGTTAGGACACTGAATGACTGTTATTTGTGAAATAAAAAGATTTTTAAAATGTGCTTTCTAATGTCAGCAAAGCAGTACATAGACATAGTCTTTGCATATCTACAATGGGAATTTGAAGGCATTTTCTGGAAAATGTGCACCCTCACACCAGAATAGATGGTTTTCATATGCAGTCTCTGTGAGGACAAATGGGAAGTGTTTGTCATCTTTAAATGACACACATAACCTTTGAGTTATTGTGGTGGTTTAACACCAGCTGGGAAATAAACTTCCTCCTGTCCCCCTCTGGTGAGGGAGGGACAAAGGAGAGAGACTATGGGTTGAGATAACAATTTACTGAAAGCAAATGGCAATGGAGTAAGAAACACACAGTGACAGCAGCAATGCTAATAACAAAAGTATATAAAATGAGAAGGTGCTTTACACACAAAAGGTATTCACCACCTTGACTTAGCTCTGCATGGCCACTGACACAAAGACAAGATGCCAGGGGATCCTTGTGACTCGGCAATGACAGTGGTTATTCCAGAGACAAAGACAAGATGCCAGGGGGATGTTCCTGTGGCTTGACAGTGTAACACAGTTTTTCCTGAGACCAAGAAAAGATGGTGGGCCCTGTCCTTACCCAGTGCCATGTGGCCTCCTGAGACAAAGCCAAGATGGCAGACTCTCCCTGCAGGCACTGTTCCCCAAGCCCAAGACAATGAAAACTAATGATGGAACAAACCCTCAAGACTGGATTGTCCACTTTGCACCATGCCACCCACTTCCAGATGGCTCTGCTGGTTCGATTGCACACTGACTCCCAGCTGGAGTCTCATTCAGCAGTGATTTATTTTCATTGGCAAAGCAACCTGTACAAACTTTACAGTGAAAATACATTTTCTTTCTTAAATGTATCTATGCTTGTAATCATGGCCCATATAAAGATCTATGTCATTGCCATAAAGGACTGAGATGTTGGCTTCATTCACTAGGATCTTGGGGAGGTAATCCACAGGTATACTGATCTATTGTGCAGATGAATTATTTTATTTGTTAGTCTTAATAGTACTGCAGTTGTTTGCTCTTTTCTCTCTTACTTGAGCAAATGTGGAAATTGGTGGAAGCTGACTGACCTGCTTGATCCCTCACTCTGCTCTAATTATCTTCACTTTTTCTTTATGTTCTGGACCATTTCTGTTTGAGCTCTGTTTTTTGAGGCAGACAGAGCAGGAAAAGAAAAACTACCCCAGAACACAGGAACAGTTTCCTCTTTTTGTGTTATAATTTTGATAGTGCTATTCCCATATTTTCACTTCATATTCCAGTTTTGGACACCTTAGTACTTCCTTTTCTTAGAAATGAGTTAAGATCTTAAACTGCTCTCCACCCTTGAATGTTTAGGTGCTGCTTGCAACTTTGCTCTGAGAAAAAATTTAGCCATTTGTTCCAGTGGTTCCAGTGTCTTCCTCATTTCACTCATGCAGGTGCCTACAGCAAAAATATGATTCCAGTCTGCCTACTGCTAGTGTCATCATCTGTTTCCATGATGAAGCCTGGTCTACTCTGCTGAGAACTGTGCACAGCATTATGGATACAGCCCCAAAGGCTTTCCTCAAGGATATCATCCTAGTTGACGATCTCAGCCAGCAAGGTAGCTCCCATTTCTCTGTATGTGAGTTCTTTTTTCCAAAACTTCAGGGAAGAAACTGTCCTCCTCCAAGAAGTGTGTGAGGAGAGGAGAAGGCAAAGAGGACTCTCAGGAAGTGAGCTAAGCACAGCCCAGAGCCCAGGTTTCACTATCCATCCCTAGAATTTAGTGTAGCCGTTCAACTTTGAAACATGTTTCTGTTTTTCCTCCACATCATTTACAACCACTCTGAACTTTCTTCCTTTAAAATAAGATCACAGTATGCAAATCTTAGGATTCCCACTGGACCAGATCTGCTGTCATAATTTCCAGACTTGGATTTTGGCTGAAGCATAGAGTGGAAAAGTCCACATTGCTAAAGTAATCCAAAGTGCTTGGGAAAGCCAAACACCTGTAGTATCTCACTCTCATCTGTGTATTTTATGAGATGATGAGAGCATCCACCTTTTGCTGAAAACAGGAAAGGAGGCTATTAAGATTCCCACAGGAATAGCCTCATAACTTGTGAATCTCAGTTTCCATTAGTCTCTACTTCCCTCTGACATTATGCTGCTGTAGAAATATTTGAAACGTGGCCTACTTGGCCATTTAAAACCAATGCCCCTGAAACATTTTCCCAGCAAGAAGTAGCATATCCTACTACCTGTTTCTTTTCTATAACAGCTTGAATCAAAGCTAAAACATTTCAGTGACTGTTCTGTTTCTGACAGGGCCCCTGAAGTCAGCTCTGAGTGAATACATCTCTAAGCTGGATGGTGTGAAGCTCATCCGGAGCAACAAGAGGCTTGGAGTCATCCGAGGTCGGATGCTGGGAGCCGCACGGGCTACGGGGGATGTGCTCATCTTCATGGATTCCCACTGCGAGTGTCAGAAGGGCTGGCTGGAGCCCCTCCTGGCCAGGCTCTCCAGCAGCCGGTAAATATCCCTGGATATGCTAATTTCTGCTAAAAGGGACATGTTTGGAAAGTGTTGGGTAGTTTTCGTAAGCCTCCCTTGGTTACCTTCATGCTTCTGGTCACATCCCTTTTATTTTCTACCTTATCATCATAGGCATTGCTCTGATGTGTGGGAAGCAGGATAGATCTCAGAGCTGATTACCCTCAATTTACACCCTGTGTAAATTTCAGAATTTGTATCCAGTTAGAGCTTAGAAGCTTTAGAAGGCTTCCTGGTGGTCTGAATTAAAAAGATTTCAGTCTCAACCTGTTTGTAAATCAGCAAACATCCACCAGAGAAAACTACTGCAAGACTCCATTGTTTTTACTTTTTAGCTGTCTCAGTGATGGAGCCAAGAATAAAAGGTTTTGTCCTCCTAAGCCAGTTTGGCTATGTACCAATGTCATCTTTTGGTTGCCATTTCTCTTCCACAGAAAAAGCACAGACTTCCAGGGCAATCTAGGCAGGGCTAGCTAATCACAGGTACTTTCACTGACCTCAAAGTAACAGAGTAAGGTAGAGATTCACATTTCTGAGTATTTAATGTTTAGGGTGGTTCTTGGGCCTGCTTTCTAACGTAGAGCTGAGCTCATCTATGCAGTCCTTTGAAGATATTAAAACCACTGCAAATGTTTCCAGGCTTGCATGCCAGTAAATCTTTTATTAAAGGGACTTTTTTGAAAGAAAAATTTGTACATTAACTTGTCACTTGGGAAAAAAATAATTGCTAGAGAGGGTAAAAAAAAAATCTATAAACTCTTACTAGACTGTTAAATAGTCACACTAAACACCTTCAAAGGCTGTTCCCAGGCACTGGAAGAAGCTGCTTTTATGGCTTATTATGTTTGCTTACAAGAGAATTAATGTGAGCTTTTAGAAATTATTACATCATTTGAATGAAAACATTAAGAATACTGAAAGCAAGAGTAATGCTGCCCTAGAATGTCAGGAATATTCTTTTCAAAAAGGTCCTCCTTGGAAAAGCAGATTTTTTTCTTGCTGACAAATTAGATGGTTTACTATGAATATACTTCATGATTCTTGTGCCTTGAACTATAGTCTGTTTTTGATGTTCAAACAAAACTACTGTGTGTATCAATTGGCCAGTCCTTATTCAAGGGCATTGAAATTGCTGAAATTAAAAGAGTTACAAAAAGTCTCAGAGGAGAGCTATAGTGAAAGGAGAATTACAACTGCAAGAGAGAAGTTAGGACCCCACAACCCCACAATGTTAAAAATTCACTGTCAAAAATTATCCCTCCTGAGGGAATGCAAAGGCTCCAAGTCTGCTGTCATTCACAGATTCTGTAGCACTGTCACCAGGGAGTGAGAAGGGAATTCTCCTTCCTTATAGGGCCCATATGTTCATTCATTACCCCAGGAGAGCAGAATTTAACAGTGAATTAACTAATATCTAATTGGATTAATGAAGCAAAGGTGGAAAACTGGATAATAGTATGGGTTAAGCCATCCCTTTATGTGTGCTGTATCAGTCACTGTGTCTGACCCTGGAAGCTTTGTCACTGCTAGTGAACAGAACCTGTGACATGCTCCATTGAGGAGGGAAGATAAGGTCTAAGGCACCTGGCAGTCACCTTCCCTTACTGTCCCTCTTTCTCCAGCTGAAGAATGGCGACAATTACACTGACCTGATAAAGAAATTAATTCATGACTTTTCATAAATTGCTTGCATGGAGATCACCATGGAAATGTAAAGCATTAGCATAATCAACTTGGCTTCATTTAGCACTTGAGGAACTGTTAAATTGAATCATATCCGCTCCCTGGGACTACCCAAGTGAGGAAAGCACAGGAAGTTGAGAGTGACTGGTGAAATATCCATCTTTCCTCTTCTTAATGTACTGATCAAGCTGTAACTCATGCACATTTGCTGGAGGGACAGGATGGGAGAACAATCAAAACAATCACCTGGAGTGTTTGCTGGCAAGGACCAATGCAGCCTTTCAAAGCTCAAACCTTTGCAGGAACTTAAGGAAGCTGTAGAGTGGTTTTAACTTTAAAAATAGTGATTGAGACTAATTTTCCTGATCCAAGTGTGTCACTGTTATTGTGATCTGTCTTAGAGTGATGCTGAGAGATCCTTGCCCAGACTGAGATTTCACTGTGAGTTGAACATACTCAAAACAAGAGGGAGTCACAGTTTTTAGTAGACTGTAGGATAAATATAAGAAAAGTTATCCCAGTTTTACTGGTATAGAAATATTTATACAGAAATACTTGGCAGACTTGACTTGTTCTAGGTAATGACATTTCATCTCCCTCCCTGATGGCTTTATTCACTAACACAATCTAATTTATTTTTCTGAAAAAAAAGTATTAAGTCATTCCAAAATCTTTGAATATACACTTTTGAGCACCTTGACTGGGACTAGTTCTGTGAACCATGTCTAATAAATTGACTGGGAAGCTGTGCATCAGCTTAGTATATTGCCTGGAGAATGGTTCAGTGGTTTCTAAAGCATTCCTTGACATTTTGATTATTCAAGGATGAATACCGTAGGTACCTGGACAATATTAGAAAACTACATAAGATGTCCCACAGATCATTTCATTTGACAATTGTTTGTGTTCCAGGCTAATTCCAGGTGAGTAGCATGATGCATAACAATGCAGCTGTGCCATTATTACAGTCATCTTTGGAAGGGTTTGCCTCTTCCAGGAGACTGCAGAGCTGCTATTTTGTATTCTGTCCAAAGGCAGGGAAAGGCGGGGGGGGCATATAATGAACTGTGCCATGAAGCCTTAAATATATTGTTCCTTTGATCTAAAAGCAGTGGCCACCGTGCTGAAACAGGATGATTAAAAAAAAAATCCAAAACATATTTCCTTAAAATACTTCATGAAAGCAGAATGAACCTTGATGATATCCTTGACAAGGAATTCCTATAAGAGAGGCCTGGGCACCATAGCTATGGACAGAGGGGTGATTTGCAAAGGGGTGGCTGGACCTTAGAACCTTTCCCCTGCTCCTCATTGCAAGGGCTGTTTCTCTCTGTGCTGGAGCACTGCCTATACCACAGCTCAAATATTAGATTAGGAAACCGAAGTCTGTTACATTATTTAAAAAAGCTTACTTGGTTTCTAAAATTCAAAATGCCTCTACTTAGCACTGTGATTCTAGGTCAGTAATCTTTAATGAAAATGCTGATAAACAGAATAAGAAATTAGCATAGCAGTGAAAAAGGTGTTTCATCATCTGTGTGCTGCCATCAGGATCAAATGGAAGCCTCTGCTTGTAGATACAGGAATAGAATGAGTTCTGTCATTCTATTGTTCAGAAATTTTCAGTGTGGTTCTGATTTTATGGTAATACACAAGAGAGAAAGGAAATATTTTGCACTAAAAATGAACAGCTTCTTCATCTCTTTTATTCTGATTCCCCACTTTTCAGTAGCCCATATCCCAGCTTTTGAGCTACCAAATACATAAGCCATCTGTTTTTTAACTTCTCACAGGCTTGGGGAAGTATGATGTTATCCGTTCAGAGCCCACACAACCCCAGCATCTGAGCATGCAATTCCATGCTCTCCCTGTTTTGAAAGCCTTCCATACACTTTACATGTAACAGCCTACTTCCTGGGATTTCTGTATATCCTTATATATATATATATATCCTTTTATATCCCCCATTTGTCAATAACACCCATTTCAAATTCAGTAAATGTTCTGCATTTACATGTAGGTTATGGAAAGATAAGCTATCTCTTTACAATATTTCATAGTTGATCAGGATCAGAAGTGGCCTATTTTAAAGAAGTTGAGGTAAAGAAAATAAAGACAAGAGTCTACAACCAAAAGCAACTATTACTGCTAAACACAGGAGCAATAAAGATTTAAGCATAATTCATGGCTCAGTTCCCTGAATGTTGAGTGTTAAATGGTGTTAGTTACCTCTACAGATTTTGTTACTCTACATAGAAATTTTAATATTTTAGCAAAAAAGGCAGGTTCAAAAATTAGTTTTTAATAAAGCATTCCCTTAGCACTCTGCTTTGCAGAGATTTGCTTAGTGCTTAGCATATGAATAGCCCACCCATTCGAGTAGACTGCTCCTGTGCCCTAAGTTAATCTGGAGTTAAGGCAGTATTTAAGTAAGGCAGTATTTAAGTAATCCTTTATAACATTCCTTATCACTGCATTTTATCTTCTTATTAACCCTATTTAATTTCAAGTGGTCTGTATTTCTAAGACTTCAGATTACCAGCAAGGTGCTCTCAGTGGAAATGCAGCATTTTGTGGATCCAGCTTGGGTCCTCAGTTACTCACTGAAGTTTTGACTGAGTACAGAAACAGAGAACTGGGACTGCCTGGATTTCTTAGCTATCTAATTTTTGCAGGCTGTGATACATCCTGAAATAGGTTGAGGAATATACATAATTTTCATGGGGTTTTTTTGGGATTTCTTTTTCTCCTTATTTAAAGGAGGATTTAAACAGATTAAAATCTAGTCCCTTCCCAGTAAAACAAAGTATAAATCAATACAAAAGCACTTTCAAAAATGTGTATCCAATAGTTCAAAACTGATACATTAATTAAATCTTCTTCTCCCCATGTTACTTAGTTTAAAATTAGAAAAAAACATAATGTGCATGCTGACTATAAAGGGTCATGGGAAGACATTTCATTTGCAATTGTATTTGGTAAAGAAATCCCAAACCAGGAAATCGTTCTTGTTTGGGTTGCTCTTTTTCATGGAATTGTGACCTTTTGTAATTTGTGTGAGTTCCAAGCATTTGAAATATTCACAGATTAGTCAAACAGTTCAAAGCCTTGCTGCTAGTTGTATTTGAATTTCCTGTTTTTCCCTTTCCTCAGATTCCACAGAGTAAAATTAGCAGTAGTTTGTGTTTCATTTGTTTCAAAGTGCCGAGAAGCTGCTGTTTGCCAGTTACCCAGTTAAAAACAAGAATAGCTAAGAACATCTTCCAATTGCCATCTACTGCACATTTGCATTTAGAACTACACAAATGTCAAACCATCATTGAATATGCAGAAAACAGCTATTTTTTAATCATACCAACAATAAAATGGGTAAAGCACTGCTTGATTAGGATTAAAATTGAATATTGACCAATTTTCACACAAGATAAAGTTACTTGATTCTTCTATTTCAGATCAGAAAGACACTCCCAATATTTAGTTTTAAGAAGGTGTGTTTCTGTTGGTTTCAGCAGAGCTACATCATGACTATACTACACTTACACCAGTTGAAGGTTTAGAATTACTCTTACAAACATACTCTTGAAAATCGTTAATCTTGGCATTCTGAAAAAGCTACACCAGTAGTAACTCTAAAACACAGCTATCAATTTTTATTGTATAATTTTGTGGGAAAGGAGATCAGACTTTATTTTGTTCTGGTTTATGGTTGAATTTAGCCAGGATAGAACATGGCCTATTCCTGCAAGTTATTTTCAATTTAAACACTGTACTTTTCCATGTCATAATTTGCAGATAATTTGGATAATTTCTTGGTCTCCAAACTATCAGAATCCATTATGTCCTTACTGGTATATTTCTTGAATTGAAATCTTAAAGAATCAATGCCCAATAACTAGAACTACTACTGTGGTGCCTACTGATGTGAGCAATTGCACTCATGCCAGAAGCACCACTGGAGTTTGTAGCTTTATAGTGGCAAATTTAAGGTGGATTAAAAAAAATACAGGTTTTAAATAGTTACAATGACTATGTAGTTACAATGTTAAATAGTCACAGTGAACATGTAGGATAGTCTGAAATGTTTGGATCTTCTGATCCAGAATATATCTGAGTGTGTCTGTATTTGCATTGTTTCTATCTGAACTATCCAGGATCAGTTCATGTGGTCTAGTCTGCACGGTCAAGGTGTTCTGAGTAGTTTAGTCTACATTGCCTCTGGCTTCTTCTCAAATACGCCCTCCTGATATTTCCCTCTTGAATCTGAAATCACAAAATAAACTACCCTGGGGTCATTAATTCCTCAGTCTTCTCTGAATGAGAATGGCTAAACCAGTAGCAACAGATAGTGTGGGTTTCAGCAGCAGCAGCAAACTTAGGTGGGAACTATGCAGCTGCATCTACACTCCCAACCAGGCAGTTGTCAGAGATTCTCATACACTGGAGAATGCAGCAGGCTGTAGAAATTATTGTTACAGTGACTTTTCATTTTTGACATTTAGTCATTTAAAATCCATTTAACTTGTCAGAAGGATTTCCCCCAGCATATCAAAGAAAATAAATGCCTGTTTTTGTGAGTCCAGTGGGACACTACCTTTAGGAACTTTTAGAAGCAGGTAGTTTGCTTTGCATGCTGTTAGTGAGTAAAGCTTCCAGTAGAAAGGGCCCTGCTGGCTTCAGTCCTGGGTGGTTTCTCCTGTCATGGATACAAAACTGTATCACAGGGACATCATTAGAAGAATTAGGGAAGGATATCAGCTTTATTATTTTTAGTATTACTTCTTTCCATTTCTTTTTGAGTCCTGGGGAAGGATGTTTTGATGTATTTGCCTACAAATGCTTCATGTAACCATAAAATTTTCTCACCTATTTATAAACCAGATGCTTGTTTCTAAGAGTGCTTATTATTGCATATTATAAAGGACAGTTTTATACCTGAGCAGAGAAATAAAATCACTTTTCTATTTTAAATATTCCTGACTTAAGCTCATCATAGGACGTCTGCTCTTACTAGGGAAAAAAAAAAAAAAAAACCTGGGTCATTTTAAAGCAATCCTCTGCATGGTTCATCTTTGTACTCTCAACTAGCAAGCAGTAGTCTGTTTCTCTGTGGGCTTTTAAAATCCTCTACAGGAAAAGTCAACTGTGAAAAAACAAAGTTGGGCATTTCCCCCCACTCCGATAATGAAAAAACATTATTCTACTGATTGTAGAGGCAGAGAAGATATTTCAAGATTACAGTAACATCACCCAGAGCTACCATTTTCCTGGTTCTGGCCTCTGCCATGGAAAAATACAAATGTCTCACTGCACTGGAGACTTCTGAGATGTCCTTTCTTCACTGACAGTCTTATGTTTCAAGCAAATTTCTCTCCTTGTGATTTCTGACCAACATATACATCTTAAAAGAGGAGATAAAAATATCTACATTTTCCCCCCAAATTGACCGTTTCATTTTTGTCTCTCTCTGTTTTAACAGGAAGGTTTTTTTTCCTAGGGAATAATTTCCTACATGGATATTCCTACTCTAGAACAATATTTTTTCCAATATTTAATCCCCCTTAAATATTACTGATTTTTCTCCAGAAGAACTTCTGTCTATAGACCAGCCTTTGCACTGAGACCAGAGACTATCCTTTTAGCATAAGAGAGAAAAAATGGATAATGTTATTCTTCAACACTTTTTCCCTGCAGTCCCTAATACCATTTCATTCATACTCTGAAAATTTCCAAACGTGATATATTATTTACCTGAAAACAAGGAACACTGAAGACTGTTCTGAACTACCAGTTAATTCCAAGATCACATGCAAGTACACTGTGAAATACTGTGACTTCTTTCCCATAGGGAAATATCTCTCAGACTCTTCTTACCTCTTCTTATCTCTTCAGTACCTCTTCTCAGACTAATCCAAATTTAACTTAGAAATAAATTCAAGGATTGCCACTTACAGTGTAATGGCTCTGTTCTTGCTCTTAAAAGTAGATTCCACCCTGTGACAGTGCATTTACAAGAGCATTCTAAGATTGTGATAAAATACAAACAGGCACTGGCTTATGAACTCACTAATAAATATTTTTTCAAAACAACCAGCAGAACAAACTAAGGATAAGTGCACTCTTTTTTGGTCTGATGTGACAAACTCATGAAGTGTTTGTAACATTTACAGGAAAATCAACCATGGTAAAGTGTGAGAGGCCAAAATCGTCTTTTGCTATAAACTTTGCATCCATGCAGAGCCTGTAGCATCAAAGGTTGGGGCCTCTGTGTGAAATAGCTTTATAAGAATTCTGATGATTAACTCCTAACAAAATCCTAGATAGTGTTAAATAACAATGCAAGGTAAAGGGTATCAGTAAATTATTGATTTTTAGATTCCTCACTGCATGCTCAATATTCCCATGCAATGAGCATGGGAATCCCACCATGAGCTTATGTCAGCAGGGAAACTAAGGGCACTCAGCATTTAGAGGAGTGCTTGTGCTTGGCAATGTCAAAGAGGAGAACTAATGCTTACTAACAGAGGAATTAACTTAATTTTTGCTTTGGTTTGGGAAATAAGTGATATTGTCTTTTTCAGAAACAGTGTCGTCTCCCCTGTCATAGATGTCATAGACTGGAAGACCTTTCAGTACTATCACTCTGTGGGTGTGCATCGAGGTGTTTTTGATTGGAAATTAGATTTTCATTGGGAACCAGTGCCAGAGCATGAAGAGAAGGTACGACAGTCTCCCATCAGCCCTATCAGGTAACAGTCCATCAGACAATGTGCCTTGCTCAGCTCAGCCGCAAAACTGTTCAGTTTGGGTCATCTGGGATCATCTTCCAGCTAACAATAGAAAGGGGTGGTTACTTGCATATGCTCAATTAATAACTCCTAAGGGAAAGTTTTTTTGTTTGTGCTGTTTGTTTTGGCCTTTAGTAATCATTCTAACTAGACTGCAGTCACACTTTCAAAGTGACAAATACTTTCCACACATCGACACAACTAGAGTACAGCCTGACTAGACAAGGTGTGGAGGTTTGTAGGGAAAGCAAGAGACATGTCATACACAGATAAAAAAGATGTCTTAGTCATGATCTGTTTATCTCTTGTTTTGAATGCACGTATGCAATGTTCCCCATGGTTCTGAGTCTTATTTGATAATTCAAGGGAGCTCTTAGCTCCCTTCCCCAAACAAATCCTAGAATTACACTCCAGTTGTTCTTTATTTTGGTTAGATAATCAGTAGAGGCAGAGAAGCTTATATGGGGCAGTATTGAGTCATTTTGTAATACTCTCTCTATGGAAATGGTGGAATTTTCACCCTCTGTGTAATTCCTTATCCATAAATCAAGGTGTTCACTTCCAAACTGTTTTCTACACAGGAGTCCTGCAGTAGCTGGTGCAGTGGTGGCCATGGATCGACATTACTTCCAAAATACTGGAGCTTATGATTCTGACATGACCACGTGGGGAGCAGAAAACCTGGAACTATCCATTAGGGTAAGGACCTTAATTGAAACATCAAGCTGTGATAACTCTTGCAATTTTAAGGAACTTGAGTGAAAAAGGAAGAAGATATTTGTAAAAACAGCGTAGAATGTGTTGGGTTATGGAGACTACAACCTTCCCTGCAGAAATCAATCCCCACGCTCCACAGCCTGTCAGGACTATACAAGAACATCCAGCTGCTGTGAGTTAGGAACATTATGTCAGAAGAAGGAAGTTTTGCTGGCTATCACTATCTGCCCAAGGCCTCTGTCACTGCTTTTGGCACCCTCTGAAAGCTGCCTCTTCTATTCCAGCATTTTAACATGCACCAAAGGGAGAGTAGCTTTATTTCTTTGCCAGCCTGTAGTTTTAATAGCAAATTGTTTATATTTAATCCTTTGCATTTATTTTTGTTGCATACAAAGAGTAACTGATATTGAAAACCAATGAAAATTGCAGGCACAAAGGGCATAGTGTTTTTATTGTCCCAGACAAGGGAAGGTATGCACCCAGATCTCTCCACTACTCTTCAATGTTTGGGCACAGAAAAACAGAAAAGCATATAAATAGCCATACTGGGTCAAATCAGAGGTTTGAATGCCCACTATCTTCTCTGGGTCTGTGGGGAGCAATGAATGAAGAAGCATATAATAATACTCCTGCTGTTTCCAGGATTTCCTGAAGCAGAGTCAAGAGTAAAGGAGCATCTCTATTTCAGATAAAAGTAATCTAAATAAGGTAATCTCTATTTGTGCTTTCACCTGTGTTTCAGACCTGGCTCTGTGGTGGCTCTGTAGAAATTATCCCATGCTCCCGAGTTGGGCACGTCTATCGAAATCACTTCCCCCGTGCTTTCTCCTATGAAGAGGCCATTGTGAGAAACAAAATCCGAATAGCAGAGACCTGGCTGGGCTCCTTTAAAGAGAACTTCTACAAGCATGACACAGTGGCTTTCTTAATCAGCAAGGTAAAAACATCTGTAGAGGTTTGTTTCTGAGGTTTGTGTTGAGATAGGTGAAGGGAGAGGAATGGGAGTGTGGATGTCTGTATGCAGTCAGATGCAGGGGATAATCTTTTTATTAAACCTTCCAGGGAAAGAGCTGTCAGATCAGGAAGGAGCGAAAGAAACTTGTGCCTAAGTTCAGCCTTGTGCTGAAGTTATCAAACCTTGTGGAGTATAACCTCTTCTCCAAATGACTCCCCAGCAAGCTGTGGTTTGTTTTGTTACTGATAGTACATGGAGGGATGTGATGCATCTGAAGCGGAAGCCTGCACCCCTGTGTGCTCAAAGGATTGTCCTAGAGGGTTCATTCTCAGTTACTGGTCTTCCTCATATGGTTCCTGAGGATATTCAGTATTATTCACAGGCAAGTGGCTAATTATAGTGTCTCTCCTGGAAGGGAACATATCTGAGTGGTCTAGTGACAAAAAAAAATGGTGTCTTTTTTTCCCTGAACTGACATATCCAGAATTATCTGAACTGAGAAAGTCAGACCTCAACGCACCCCAATTTACAAGTTACATTTTCATTAGAAGCATGGTGCAGACATCTGACTCTGCGTTCCTCCAGGAATTTGGATTTCCAGCAGCCTGTAAGCGAGGACAAGCTTGCAGACAGATGTGTGGTGTAGCCTTGGCATGCAGCTACACTTGAACCATCTGCAGTTTACACACCATCCAATAACTACAGAATGGTCTCACCTGTTTTTTAAGTACAGTCTCCATGGCAGATCAGCGGTGGTCAAGGAACTGTATATCCCTTGTATTACAAACAAGTGGATGTTTGCTTATTGGGAGACTTGCAGCTGTGAGGGATGTTGGTGTAGTTAATGTTGTTAATAATGTTAATGTTGCTCCAGTTCTCAGGAATTCTCTGGCTCCAGTATCTTTTCTTCTAATCATATTCTTTTTACAAGGCAGTGGACAAACTTGTAAGCAGTTTTGAATGAAAATGTATCATGTAGCTTCCTGTTCATTTAACAATGCCACACTTTTAAGGAGAAAAAGACTCACTGGAAGCATTTAGGCAGAGCATGGGTAGGTGCCATGCAGTTTCCCATTCATATTTACTCCTACATTTCATAGAATCAGAGAATGGTTTGGGATGTAAGGGACCTTAAAGATTGTCTCATTCCAACTCCACTGCCATGCATAAGGATGCCATTCACTAGATCAGTCTGCTCAGGGCCCCATCCAGCCTGGCCCTGAGCAGGGATGAGGCCTCAGGGATGATGCCTCATCCTCTTCTAGGGATGAGGCATCTACAGCTTCACTGGGCAACCTGTGCCAGTGCCTCGCCACCCTCTGAGTATAGGATTTCTTCCCAATAACTAATCTAGACCTGCTCTCTTTGAGTTTAAAACTACTGCTCCTTTTTGTAAGTCCCCTTTAGGTACTGGGAGGCTGCTCTAAATTCTCCCTGAAGCCCTCCCTTCTATTTAGTTTCATCAAGTGATCCCCAGCTTGCTCTTCCCTTATAGGGGGAGAAACTTCCTTCCCCTTCCCCACTCACTCACAGGATCAGGGTCTTGAGAGAATGGAGAGCCTGACTGCCAGCAAAGACTGAGGAATACTGCTCAGCTTTCTCCATATCAAGTCGTTCACTTTTCTTGGTTACTGGCAAGAATGGGGGCTACACTCTCCTTGTCCTTTCTTTTCTGACCTATGTATTTATAGAATCCCTTCTTGTGATTCTTTGTGTCCCTTGCCAAGTCCTGTTCCAGCTTTGCCTTGGCTTTCCTGAGCCCACCCTGACATATTCAAACCATATCCCTGTACCTTCCTCAGCTCACCTGTCCCCACTTTCACAGTCTGTGCATTTCTTTCTTACTCCTCTGTTTGATGAGCCGATCCTTGCTCAGCCATGCTAGTTTCTGGCCTGCCTTGCTCAATCTCCTACACACTAGGATAGAGAGCTCTTGCACTGTGGGAAAAGTGGCTTTAAAGAGCTGCCAGCTCTGGTCAGCACCTCTGCCCTTAAGGACAGTTTCCTAGGGGATCTCTTTCACCAGCTCCTTAAACAGCTGGAAGTTTGCTCTTGCAAAGTTCAGGGTCTTGACTTTGCTCCTCACCAGGCTCACACTCCTTGAGATCACAAACTCAAGGGCTTGTTTGTTACAGCCCAGGCTGCCGCCAATCCTGATGGCTTTAATGAGCTCAGCTGCACTGGTGAGCACCAGTAATACCTGTCCTGCGTGCCACAGTCATTCAGGGCTGGCCATCACCCAAGAAAGCCAGATCCAGCAGGAGCTGCATTGTAGTGGGGAGAGGAACAGGACTGTGTATCAGTGTGACTTCTCTCTTGCTGCCTAGTCCAACTCCTTATGCTCCACCAGTGGATCTGCCTCTCCAGTCAGCCTACTAACTGTAGAGTCTGCAACTATTGTGTTTCCTTTTTTACTCTTATTTTCACATATTTTTAAAAGATCCTCCTCCTTGTCTGTGTTGCAGGTTTGAACTTCACTGGCCAGGAGCTTGTCAATTGATTCACAAAGGTTTATAGCTGCTAGACCAAACCTTTTAAAATGGGCAGTGAGGTCTCTATATAATTTAATAATTCCCTGAAGGCTTTTCTTGTCAGCTCAGAAGCTGACTAAAAACTACAGTCACGAATGATTCAGCTTGCTAGCTGTAAGCAGCATGACCTTTTGCCTGAGTTTATTCTAGCCAGAATACTTTTACTACTTCTGAGTATGATGCTCACTCAAATGATCAATTTTATGATCTTTGTGTGCAGCATACCATAACATAAATGGCCCTTTTTGTGTGTTCCTTTCTTTCACAGCCGATGTTTTCAGCCTGTCAGTGCAGCGGGATGTTATTCAAAAGGCACAGGCAAGCAAGGACATTATTGCCACTCAGCGGCAAAGGGCCCTGAGGGGATTTATTGCTCTGAGAGGGTGAGCAGAGCCACCTATGGGCCACTATAGAATTCTCCGTGAGTCTTCACCACCACCATTGCTCACTGCAGAAAACAACCAGTGACCCCCATTTAGGTGGCTTTATAACTCTTCTTGGTTTATGGTCTGAATCACATCTTGCACCGAATGCCTGTGGTGTGAGCATTAAACAGATGAATTAGGCTCTTCCCAGCTCTTTACTACTTCAGCCACCAGCTCTTTTGCTCCTTTTCTTGTGTGGTTTGCATATTGAATTTACAAGCACAGTTTCCTTTCGGATTGGTTTACAAGGACAATGACTTTCTTTACATTATTTACACCATTTATTCAGCACCAAATGCAGACTGTAACTAGTATGATAAAATGAGATTTACTGCCACTGCCTTCCTCACCCAAGGCAGAGTCTCATGAGAAACATCTCTTTTTAGGGGAAGCATTTTACTTCTCTCTCTCCTTTTTCCCAGTGAATCTCTAGAGGACAGGTTTGTGTGGTGCAGAATTGCTAAACTTTGTTGTTATGCTTATTGAATCTAAGACTGACGCTGAAGTATGAGGTTCTCTTTAACATACTGCAACTGTTGAGCTTTACCTGTGGAGTTTGCAAAAGTTGGCAAACAGTGCCATATGGAATGATTGATCCCTGCCTTAGAGACTGACACCTCACCTTGGATCACCAAGGCCCTTCATTTGTCAGTGTTTTCCATGCTGCAAAGTCCTTTTCTTTCTTTTTTATGGATACAGAGAAATAGCTGGTCTGGGAAAAAGTTACTTACAGGCAATTCTCTGCTTACGTTGCCAATTTTAATTTTTGACGAAGAAATCCAGACCAGTTTCCTGGAATCCCATCCCAAACTGCATTTTTTAAAAAGTAGAAACATGAAGAGGGGAGATCTACTGCTGGCAAGAAAGAGGAGAGAAACTTTTAAGGGTTGTTAGATGTTTTTAATGTTTGGGCACTGAGGGATTTAGAAAAGTGTTTTGTGTGGTTTTGAAACTGCAGAATTAGACACATAAGTGCTTAGAGGTTTTGAGAACCCCTTTAGTCATCTTTGTGCTAAATACCCTCAAATATTCAGCCTGTCAGTCCTGTGCAGTACAGATGCCTGTAGCTGCACCAAGGATTGAAGGCATTTGTCTTTTATCATAACAGAGTTGCTACCAGGAAAGCTGAGAGCTGATATTTTGTCTTTATAATTCAAGAAAATAGAGAAATCTTAGGAAAGGTTTTAGGTATTAAAACTGCAGAACAAGTTTGTTCATTAGATTTAGTAACTGTCAGATAATATACAGATAATAGGTGATAGACTATGTTTTGGGTTAAATTCTGTCTGATCATAGAGGACTGACAGTAACTGAGTAATTTGGGCTGCTAAACACCAGGAAATAGAGTTTCTATCACTGGGAAAAATTCTATATTAAATGGCAATCTAATACAATCCCGCTGAATTTCAGTGCAACAACTATCAAACTTGGTCCTGGCTTTTTAAAATAAAAATATGACAAAGACTGACTTATCTTGCAGTATAATAATAATTTTTAGAGGACATTTCACAATGTATGCTACTTCTGAAACACTTCTGTCACAATGCCAGACTGTGACTGTTTTAGCACAAAGTTTGAGGAAGGCTATAGCTGGATCTCCTCCTTTGTATATGTCGTAAGTGATACAAATAAATATCTATAACATTCAGGATAGAAAAGGTGATAGAAATAATTCCTGTGTAGTCATTTCGACTCCTAGCATCTCTAACACAAATACACCAGTAACCTTGTTGCCCTTTCTCCCTTTCTCCATAAAGGCAGAGAAGCCAGACTGCAGCGAGCGCCTTCAGCTACAGAAGAGACTGGGCTGTAGAAATTTCCAGTGGTTTCTATCAAATGTGTACCCTGAACTCTCCCAACCTGGAGACACACCAAGATTCTCTGGCAAGGTAAGAGAAAACACACTGTAAAGAATAATCCCTTTTTTGCATTGTTCAAAGACTCCAGTGTCACTTCCATATCCTGAGTACTCATTCCAAACAGGCAATGCAAACAGGGTGGGAGGAGAAAGAAAAAGACAAAGAGCTGGCCCAAATTCTCACATAAATGTTGAAAACTAGCCAGGAACTGAACCCAGAGTGTCTGACTCAGTTCAGTGTCACAGGTCAGAGGATCCTAACCTTAGGTTCTCCAGGTGCCATTAGTAAAGGAAAAGAACTGTGTTGTCTCGTGCAGATGGCAGAAGTGACAGCAGCCAAGATATCTCTGTGCTGACCCATGTACACAAAGAGAAAAAAGAGCATTTCTTCAGTCCTGCACTTCCTAAAGGACAGAAGTAATAGCAATAGCAGTTCTCTGGCTGACTGTGTACAGGACAGGGAATGTCTGGGGTTTTTTTTAAACATATAGTTGATAATTATAATTCATTAAATATTAATTTATTCCCAGCAGCCTTACTGTAAGGGAATTTCCCCCAACAAGGCAACAGGGTCTACTAATTAATTCACATTCAGCTATCTTTAGCCAGATTTTACTGTGTCCTTTTACTATTTTATGTGCTCTTTATTTTCAAAATTAGCTTGAGAAATGTGTAAGAACTGAGTTTGGATCACAGGAATTGTCTCATTTCTTTTTTTCAGGAATATCTTGTGTTTTTTATGACTACAGTGTCTCGTTGAAGTGCAATTTTCCACTAGCATAAACATTTTGATACCTTTCTTTTAATTATCATAATAGTTAAGCCCAGAAGTGAATCTCTCTAATTTAAACAAAACTCACTGGGTAACTGACCCTTGGTGAAACACTGCCTTTTATATCACATTGGTTTGCAAGATCAATATGCAAGATATCAAGTCTGAAAGAAAATAAATAGTGTCTGATTTATGAACAAAATCATATATAATAAAGGGATACAATCACAAAATGTTAGCTGAAGAATATTTTGTTTGTATCCAATTGTGATTTATTTCAGTATAAACTTTTACTTACAGCTTTACAATACTGGTGTTGGCTTCTGTGCAGATTACAGGCCTGGAAGAGCTACTGCAGAAGGGTCTATTGAACTGTCCCCTTGCAGTGACAGTCCCACCCAGGTAATGTATACTTTGAGTACATAGGCACTGTGTCAGACCTAGGGAGCCATGCAGAAGACAGGCACCCCAATATGTAAGTGGCTGGGCTGACACTAGTGGAAATACTGGCATGTTCAAAATTAGCATGTGCTAAAGCAACGATGCACACCCTTCCACAGCTGAGTGCCACTCGAAAAATGCCAATGTCCCCATGTGTCACTGAGGCAGATACCCACACTTTGCTCCAGAAGACAAAATTAAGCACTTATTTGTAGAGTATATTTGGTAGTGTCTGGGGAACAGAAAGCTTGTGAGCAAAAAATACATAATGGTTCCAAAATATAGGGGGGGAGGAGGGGGGGGGGTTTCCCCATTAGTGACTAAATCTGAAGATTAATGTCTAAACTGCAGTCTAAGGCAGGAGGTAAATTCATTTACACTCCCTAGCTGGCATTGGTCTAGCTCAGGGTGAGCTGCAGGCACATTTCAAACTGCAGCATGTGAAGACACTGTCAGAAACACCCTTCTGTTCAAATATTTATGAAACTGGAAAATTTTATGATAGGGTGGGTTTATGTCACACATAATCATAGTTCACAAAGCCTTTCCTTAGGTAAATAGTTATGCCAGAATTAGCTAGCAGGGGAACTGCTTGAAGGGTCAAGGCTGTTGGGTCTCTGTAACTTATGTTTGGATTGCCTCTTAACAAACATGTACAGGAAATTGTCTTTAGAATTAGCATTTAAAAATGAACTGGGATGTCCATCCATCATTGTTCAAACAAACCCTTCCTTTCCCAGCACTTTGAATATAACATGAAGGAAATCTTGCTTGGTTCTGCTCCACTGCTTTGCTTTGATGTCAGACACGGGAAGGTTATCCCTCAAAACTGTACAAAGGCGACAGACAACAGCAACCAGCACTGGGATGTCCAGGAGGTCAGTGGTGGCTCTGCCATGGGGGAAAGGCAGCTGATGGTGACTGTGGGATCACTGGATGATTTCAAGATTTTTGTGTGACGAAGGGGTGAGGTACCTGAAGGGCAAATTTCACTTCTGTACCTTTTTAACTCAGAAATAAATAGGATGTCTCTTGCCCACTAACACTGTCTATGAAAAAAGCATTTGGTTTAGAAATACAAACTACAGAAATCCTACCTAAAAATCTATGTCTTTGTTTTACCTGTTTGTCTTATTGGCCTTATTGGAATAGAATCACAATCAGGGGTTGTGAAAACCAGAGCAGGGCAAATCCCTTCCCATTTCTTTCAGATTGAGGGAGGGTTTGGAAATCCTGACTGCTCCCAAATGAGAGCCTTTGTGGAACTTACAATGGGAAACATTAAATATTCTCCTGCATTGTAAGAGAAGAGCAAACTTCCTACTAGAGGAATTCACTGTTTTTCAGTAAACTTCACCCAGCAGAGCAGGAACTCCTCAACAAGACTGAAAATTGTCATGCTCTGGAACAGCCTGGGAAAACAGCAGTTACTGTAGTTGTAGGGATGCAGCAATCCTCTGGAATAGTCTTACAGTAATTTGGTTTGATTCCTAAGGCAAGCACTGGTCCTTATGAAATGCTGTGGCCTGTAGTACTGAGGTTGGTGCTGATGACAACCTGTAGCCACAGGAAAAAAACAGTGGTGGAAGAGAACTCAGCACCTACCACTTGTGTTAGTTTCAAAAGGAACTATGAATATTCACCATGCTCTGGGCAGAAAGCTGAATCCAGTCATTATGTTTGAAGCATTGCTTAAAATATATTTGAACAACCAGTTATTACTGGTGATATATTGTATAAAAATTTTCTGAAACATGGCCTAGCTTTTACTGGAAATCCCTTACTTTTAATTTGTTCTTTCTTTCCCTTCTTCTCTCATCTTGTAGGATGGAATGATTGTCCATGTCCTTTCTGGCAAATGCATAGAGGCAGCAAAGAGTGAAGATGAGAAGGACTTGTTTCTGTGTGCATGCAACAAGAACGCAAATCAGGTGTGGGAGTTTGAACGTTCCCAGGGGCTACGTCAGAGGTGACTGGCAGGTCTCTGCAGAGGTCGTCTCCAAAGTTTAACATTACTTCTGCTTGGGATTTAAGATGAATTTCCTGCAAGGACAAGAAAGATGTTTGTGTTTGCTGTAGCATGCAGGGAAGTCAGGAATGGCTCTTGTTTAAAAGCCTGGCTCCCGGTTAATCCAGCTCTAGCTACAACTTCTATTTATTCTGTGAAGCAGGGAATAGAGAGATTGTGAGAATCAATAAATTCTCAACTCTGCTATTGCAGAAGACACTTAAGTTTGCCCTTTGATGGAAACATGGAAAATTGGCTGCCAGACAGCTTGTCTTCAGTGTATGCTGTGACTTCTGAGGATACAGGAAAAAAAGTGAGATCTTTGAAACTGTAAGAGGAAGTCGGCTAAACCAGGAGAGGAGTTTAGCCTTGTTTTACAGTGCCCTCGACTCATATAAAACAAACTAGGTTTTGTATGTATGAAAGTAATAGATGTTTCCAAGTGTAATGGCAAAAAATTTGTTTTCCAATTAACCTGAACCAAATTTCTACTCTCTGTGAGATTACACAGAGCATAAATTAACACTTAATTAGACACTAATTGCTCTAATTGACTCGGACTACTAACAGTCCTCAGTGTTTGGCACACTCTTCCTTAAATCCTTGTCCACAGTCTAATTTGGATGGAAGAATGAGACTGAAATATTAACAACTTTTTTGTTGTTGTTTTAATTATATTTAAGGACAACTCCTCAGGAAACTTTTGTGGTAGTAAGGAGGGTAACAGCTTCTCTGCTTATTTGGGAATAGAAAGAATCGGCAGCATCCATTTGCTCTTGTAAAGCCATGGGATAAGCTTACTATTATTATTATTATTATTATTACTATTATTATTACAGTAACAGAAGTGCTGGCTGAAAAGTAGCAAGTGAAGGGAAACAGCCAGTTTCAACAATAGCTACCTAGGAAGAAAATACTGGTTTGCTTCCATTTGCTTGCAGCCTGAGTTAAGTCTTTCAAGCTGTCAGTTTTAGCCATTAAGATTGTGTAGATTCTTGCTGTTGTGGGCCTTCAAGATGATCCTGAAAAGACCAAATTTTCTAAAGAAGCTTCTTCTGTAGAGCCTGCATTGCTGCTGACATGCTGTCTTTCAAAGGAGTGAATGAGAGATAAGGTTAAAAAACAAGAATGGTCTCACACAGTATGAACTTAGCCAAGCAAACTTCCACTTCAGTATCTCATTCGGGTACTTTCCTTTTTGAAGATATAGTCAATGATGACACTTCCCAAAACCATGCTAAGAGAGAAGAACAAAGATTTGAGAGTCTTCCCACATCAACACATCTGATTTATAGTATAAACCAATCATAATCCTATGTACATATTAAAGGGGAAGGTCATCATTAATGAAAGTCACTTAGGTTTTGAATTATTTTCAAGAGACAGAAAATGGTGGGGGTTTTTTAAATGTACAGCACATTGTTTAAACTTCAGAGAAAGGAAGGAGTAACAGATTATTCTGCTTAGAGCCCTCCAGTTACCTGCTCTCAGTAAATCATAATAAATTGGTATGAAGTATATAAAATTGTTTACAACAGAGGACATGAAGAGTATTCTCTATTGTGTTGTCCAAACATCTCCCAGTGTCTAATTCTCTGTCTACTTTGAGTGCTAAAGATTCCACACTGTGTTCAGGCATCACTCCAATCATCTTGATTACCACTTATGCTTTCTTTGATAGCATCAGAATCTATTACTATTTCTGCTGTGTCATTTAAAATTTCCTGTGACATTCTGGAAAATGCTTTAATTTTCAGCTAAGATGATGATAGCAACCTCTTCCAGAACACAAGTGACACCTGACCATTGCCCAAATCTAGGGTGAAAAAAGAGAATTTTTTTAAATTGCATAAAAGCTGAGTAAAATGCTGTTTTAATGACATGTGATGCCTTTATTTTAAATTATGACTATGCCAGGTTTTTAAATTATGTATTATTTATTATATTTTGGACACTACACTGGGAATATAATTCCTTCAGAATTTAGGTAAATGTTAAAAAAATGTGTATACAAACATGGTAATTGACCACAAGCGATATTTATCACAAAAAAAAGGATGAAAAGATTTTTGGTTTAGAGAGGAAATGTTTGAAATTTCAGAGACATGGACATCTTCATTTATACTACTTTTTAACATAGTGATAAAAACATAGAAAATAAGGTTTGCTGTAGATATATGTACCATAGAAAAATGTTACCCAATACCTCTTCAAAAAATAAAATGAAAATCTGTGGTGCAGTACCATTTAGAAAATAATTGTTGATGCACTTGTTTCACTTAGAGTAAATGTGTGTTTGGTTTCCAAGGGAACTAAATTCCAGAGCATGGGCCAGAAGGGGACATGGATTGTGGAGCACATTTCCCCCTAATATAAACATAACTTAGTACATACAAATTTAAAAATACCAAAGGGAAAGCATCTATCCCTGTTTTTCCTCTTTTCCTTCCTATATGGCTTTTAAATGGATTGGTTGGTTGTACCAATATTGTTTCCTTATTGTGGTCCTTTAGACTTTGCCCCTGTGGTTACATCCATCAGCTAAACTCTTCTCCTCATGGAACTGGGATCAAAAAAGAGTGGTGGCTAAGCATGCTGGTATGTTTTCCTCATTTTTACCCACCTTTCATGCAATACTAGCACTCAATGATTCGTTGAGCACCACAAAACATAGAATTACTTTCAGTTATCTATTTAAACATGGTCAACATTTCAGGTTCCACTAATTCCCGTGACAGGAGACACGTAAGGACAAAATGCTTCATGCAAGGATGAAGCAGTTTAAACTTTGAAAGCTTCCAAAGCAGAGCCTCAGGCAAGAGCAAAGGAATTCCAGCATAACACAAATAAATACCTTATAATGTAACTCCACCTGTTTCTTTGAATTTCACAATCCAGGCACAGTGCTTTGAGCCAAACCCACCCATGAAGCTGAACTAAAAGGTCAGATTCAAGAACAGGTCACCTTTTGGTTGACAGCACTTACTAAACAACCTCATTTATTCCTCTCCCAGCTCATGGAAAATGGAAGAAAATAAAGACTTGAAATACTATTCAGAGTACTTTTAAAGCAAGCCCCATTTGATACAGTTGGTGTTGACCGTAGGCTGGGGTTTGTCCTGTTAGGTAAGGTGCCATCACTGGCACAAAGAAACAATGGCAGCATTCTTCTCCATGTGTTAATCTGAAGTCTAAACAGGGACAGAAGGTTTACCAACCCTCATGCTAAATCCTGTAGCACAGAAATGTTGAGGGTATCTCTCAGTCCACATGTAAGTGCTTCCAGGTCCTGCCTTGAAGATGTTCATTGAGCTGTATTACTGTCTGCTGATTGAAATGCAATAGCTTCCATCTCTGATATCCCCAGGAAAGAATGGAGCTATGTTCAGGCATCCTAGACAAGAACAGTAACAGCCTAGGTTTCCATAACAGCTGGAAGGTGACATGTGAGTGAGAGCTTTCAGATTCTGACTTTGTATCTCATTTTATCTCAAGCAGTTTGATTCAAACTGCAAACATACTGGAAGAGAGTAAAAAAGGAATGTTTTGCAAATAGGTAACATGTTTTTAAGCTCATGTTTTTAAGCTATGCAAACTGCACATGTCTGCCCTGAATAAAGTGTATCAGTGCACAGAGAAACATATTTTTATTTCCTTCATTGTGTTATGATTTGTTAATGCCTTGTTTTCCTCATGCTGCAGCAGAGCTGGTCTGCAAAAAACCCAGTCAGAAAGCATCCAGTGGCAATAGCCTCATTCAGCCATCACCTGACAGTCTTACAGAAATGTACAGGAGGACTTGCCCCTGTCAGCATCTTAGAGGGGGTTTGATTTTGCAGAGCTTTGCCGTAATTTCCATTGGTTTCTTTGGAAAGGTCTGAATAAGAACTCCAAACACAAGAGTTCCTGGAAAGCATGAACTCCGGCACACCCTTCAGGCAGCCCTCAGCTGCTTATTCACCAGGTGCTTTGGAAGGACATTTTGGATAAACAATCTGGCTACATAACTTGAGATAGCAGCCATAGTGGTTTTGCTATCTTTCTAGCTGCTAATTTTATTTTTTTTTTTAATCAGCTATCACTCTTGGGGATGATGATACTTTAGACCTGGAATAGGATGCACCTCTGTTAACTGGGGCCACCTGAACAGTAGTCACAGCTAAGGAAATTGTCTATAAGTTTTTCTACTGGTGAGCAGAGTACATTTCCAGAGGTAATCAATGGCAAGTATTTAACCAATATGAGTAAATCACTATCTAGAAATGCCTGCTTTCTCTACTGATTAGAAAGAGTTTCTTGATAATTAATTTAGATGTCATGTATACATTTTAAACTAGAGTTAAGTGGAAGGAAAATAATCCCAAAGGGTACCCAGGCTAAAATCCCTTCCAGAAGCCCAACCCCAGTGCCCAGCTCTTCCAAGGTTCCCCCAAGATCTGGCTTTAGGCACAGAAACAACAGCCAAGAACAAACTTGCTACCATCTGCAGTTTCCTCAAATGAGTCAAATCCAACAGCACACTTTTCCAAGACAGCTTCTTTGTTCACAGACTGAGAGACCCCATTGTGGAGGATGCTGTGTTAAAGTGTGATCTGGTCCCAAAGGAATAAGAACTTAAAATTTTCAGAAGTCTCTATATTATTTTGAATATTTTGAATATTTTGAAGATGTTGACTCTAATATTAATAACAAATCTTCTATATCTTTCTGCTGAGTAGGCTGGAAGGCTGCAGCAGAATTTTCACGACACAGAACAGATACAGGTGCCAGGAATGTTTGCAAGGTCCTTCTTAGCTTGAACCTAAGTTCCAGACAGACCAGCCTAAGGGCTGAATGCATTACTCAGTTTCTAAGTAGCTGCACAATGACCTTTCTTAGAGTCCATGACCTTTGGTAATACTATCATGATATTTATTCACACCAATGGTAATTTTGTGTTACAAACTGAGAAAAAGGTGAAAGTAATTAACTTTTTGAAAATTTGCATATTATAAAAATTCTAAATATATTTTTAAATATCTAATCTATTTTGTGCAATTACTCAAAAGATTGCTGCTGCATTTATTAGTCCCTCAGTCTTACAGACTGATAACAAATAATCTAATAATGCAACTTACATTGTTATAGGCATAAATGAGCTTTAAAGGATTACATCCCTAGTATTGTATTTTTCATGGTATTTTTTATTCACTTCTTATTATGCTATTAGGTGAAAACTGGGGTTTTTTACAGTCTCTTTTTTATCACTTAATGTAATAATTACACAAAAAATTTAACTGCAGCTCCAAAAGAAAATCAACTGGTACTTTGATGTATCAGGAATTCAAGATGGACAACATCAGACATTTATACCTGAGTACAAGGCCTTCAGAGGCTGCTTCTGTCAATCACCCTTTATACATCTAGTTTGGGATTACTGAACAAACCTAAAGTGGTCAAAAGCTACAGCCAAATCAAAATGTTGGGTGCAAACATATCCTACAGAGACAACAGGTCATTGCACTAGTGTCATCTTTTTTTGCTTTCCCTCTTATTAGCACACACTTTGCCTGCTTAGAAATCAAGAGCCAAGCAGTAAACAGAGTTTAATAATCAAAATATTTCAAGCGGGGAGACTCATAGAATTCATCATGTCCATTAAAAAGTAAACCTTGAAGTAAATTTCACATTGGACATGTTGCCTTGTAAATCATTATCTTACCTAGTCTGTATATGTGTCATACTTATCAAAAACTTATCATCTGTGATGCCAAGAGCTGCAGTAAATTTCACATTGGACATGTTGTCTTGTAAACCATTATCTTACCTAGTCTGTATGTGTCATACTTATCAAAAACTTATCATCTGTGATGCCAAGAGCTGCCTTCACTTACAAATCAGTCAACAAGCCACAGAGCCTGAAGACCACTTAGTCTGATGCTCCCTGAGCCCCATGCAGTCCAGATGATGGATCCCTGGCTGCCACAGCAAGCTCCTGGATGGTGGCAAGAGCCACCTCTTGAGGGCAGTTTGCTGTTGATTCCTTTGCTTGCAGAAGCAAAGGAAACATTAATTTTCTAGTGCAGCAACCTGTGGTCAGTCTGTAGTGTCTGCACAGATTTGCACACGCACAAGCCCAGGAACTGAGCCTGGTGCTGACGCTAAGGAAATAACTTTGAGTTGTGTGGTTTCAGCTCCAGCTCCTGCTCTTGGAACAACCATCTCTGTGCAGCCCGTGACAGAACTCTTAAGATTCTCTAGTGCCAAGAACAACTCTTAAATCAGCGACAAGAGGAAAGGCTGAAACAAAATAGGTCTTGACACTGGAAAAGAACTCGATAAGCAAAATAAGAACAATGAGACCATAATTTGCTAATTGCAAGAAGATGTCTGTCTTTTCTATAAAATATACCATTTTGGCAGTTTCATTCAAGATTAGATGTAACACGATGCTCAGACTTGGCAGATAGTGGTGATTCCATTTTGAGGAGTTTCCAAGATTTCTGAATTTGCTTTCAGTGAGACCCACCATTTCCTTTGCTCTCTGGAACAGAGCTGGGATGGTCACACAGGCTGTGATGAGGGAGGTCCCCAGGCCAGGCTGCCCATGCCAAGGTCCTGGGCTCTGCTTCCTTGTTGCCCAGGATAAGAAACAACCTTTTCCTCTGGGTTGTCTTGCTTTCAATATGCTGGCAAATTTCAATGAAAAATTGTTTTCCTGGAATTTTACTGCTAGCTCTTGTGAACGTGTCTACAACAATTACATGGCAGCAAAAACTGCAGACTCAGCAAAATGAGGAAAATCATTATCTGATTTTTAACAGCGAGAAAGAATAAAGCAGAAAATGGGAATAGGAGATTTTAATTTCAGTTCCCAAGTACCTCCATCCGTTTCTTTCTAAGGCACTGGAGGACTGCAGAACAACCCAGTATTGGGCTACTACAATAAGAGAAGCCTCAGGTTGATGGTGCAAGTACTGGTTCTTAATGACATGCCTGGCAGGGAAAAGCTTTTTTACATTTTCATGTGTAGAACTGAACATATTTTCTTCCTAAAGTGGGAGCAGTGAAAATGAGAATGAGGATGGCTCATGAAATGACTGTCAACCTCAGCAGCAAGATTGAACCAGATACACAAAACAAACAATTGACAGTCTCTGATTGGAGTTCAAAGTTAGACACTTCGTTTACCAGCAGATGTTGCTGTGTTTAGTAACAATTAATTACAGAGAGGGTTTTGAAGTTTGTAATGCCTTCTTAAAAAAAAAAAAAAAAAACTAAACCTTTATTCTCAGACCTAGGCCTCTGTAATAGTGTCAGATCTCATGCAGTTCATGTTGATCTTGTGTTGATTTAAATGAGGTCACAAGTATTGGCAGAAACAGCTTACATAAGAATGTCCATTTTCAAACATCCTTCATTTTTACCTGAATTAGAAACTGTACAGAGTGAAAAGCATTAAAACATTAATCAAAAGGCAATAAGCCTTAAAAAAGGAGATGTGGATGTCTATAAACATGATGTGCTATCTAAAAGACTACAGATCATAAAGTGATCTTATGAATTTGAGAAACTTGGTGATTTTTGAGTACACTGGATTTAAAGACAACATGCCAAGGTAGAGAAATGTGACTTCTAATCTTTTGTATCCACTTCTAATGCCTTTCCTTCAGTCTGCTTAACATTAACACTAAAACATGCTGTCCCTCACACTGAGGGTTTCAGGCACCAGACACTCAGGTCCAGCTTGTGAAAATGTTCTAGTCCCAAATTAATAGGTATGTTTTGTCTCCATTCTTGATTGGTTTTAGGACCTCTAGTGGCAGAAAAAAAAGGCATTTGTAGAGAAGGTCATCTGGAAAGCTCTTAACATGAAAGCAAGTATGGCCATGAACTCCAGCCAGTAAGAAATGGATGTGAAAATGCCATTTAATTAAAATTCTGGATTTTCTCCAGGAAGAATTATCTCATCTTCTTTCTTTCATATACTGCATAATGCAAAGAGAATAAACTGAAATAGACCTCTCCACTTGTTAAAGGAATTATGCTTTTCAGCTAACCAACATCATGGTATACTGATTTTAAAAAAAAAACAAACCCTCCACTTTCTTCCCTCCAGCACCCCAGAAAACATCCTACTATTCTTCTGTGCATAAGTGTCCAAATCCAGGGCTCCTACTGCCTAACTCAATGAAGTCTGCTAGGAAAATGCCCAAGACATAAAATACATTCAAAGCTACTGGTGACTGTTATTTCATGCCTGTCAGTAATCTTTTTAGCAAAGAGCTACTCTCAATTATTGATATTTCATTAGGGGGTTTCAAGGTGACTCTGGATGACAGGTAAAACCACATATTTTCTGCTGCTCGGTAGGAAGACTGATAAACATTGGAAATGTATGGAACGCTATGAAAATCTGTCCCTCCAGATAACTCCCATTTTGACTCTTGACAACAAAAAAATGTTGTGTTTTGTCTGCCCCTTTGCCAGATCATTGCAGTTGTGCCAGTACTATTAAAACCCCTCACCTTTGTGGATCTAGGATTTGTCACTCTAAACAGAAGAGAATATTAAGCTGCAAAGAGGGCAAGAACAATTTATACCTGCTCCTATACTATGTCTCATCAGTGCAACTCTATTATTAAAAATGTTTAAAACAAACCTG